CCCCAAGGGGAGCAGCAGAGGGGGAGGTGCTGATCTCCTCTTTCTGGTGACCAGCGACAGGACATGAGGAAGTGGAATGAAGCTGCATCAGGGGAAGTTCAGGCTGGGCATTAGGAGAAGGTTCTTCCTGGAGAGGGTGGTCAGGCACTGGGACAGGCTCCCTGGGGAGTGGTCAAGGCACCAGGCCTGTCTGAGTTCAAGGAGCAGCTGGGTGATGCTCTTAGTCATATGGTTTAGTTTTAGGTAGTCCTGCAAGGAGCAGGCAGTTGGTCTCAATGATCCTTATGGGTGCCTTCCAACTTGAGATATTTTATGATTCTATACCTACTTTTTGTGAAAGTTTTGGCCCTTTCAGTTCAGTACATGCAGAGGTTAATTTAATGAAAGGGGTTGCATAAATCTGCTTTGACATGCTGCTTTCTTTTGCATACGAAGTATTTGGCTTGTCCTGAACTGAAAGTAATTTGGTAACACATCTTGTGTACAATCAGAACAAAAATCTGTCTAGCTCATTATTCTGTTTCCAAGAGTAGCAGTTGTGTAGGAAGGAGTGTATGAAGGCAAGCACATAAATATACTTCTCTTGTGTGCCCCGCACAACCTGCAGCTAATGGAGCTCCTGATCTTATATTTTCAATATGAGAATCCTTGATAGATTTTTATTCCACTTTGTGAACGCTTTTTATCACTCGACCTTCATGAACTTCTAGAATCCACAGCATCCCATGGAAAGAAATTCCACACTTGAGTTGGATTTTATGATAAGGAAGTATATACTATTGTTTATTTTGAATATGACACTTCATAATTTATTTGATATGTCCCTATTGACCAGTCGTTCCTAACTCAGCTTGTCATGACCACACAATTTCACAGACCCCTGTCCTGTCTCTCATCAGTTGTCCGTCTTTGAGGATGAAGAGTCCTATTATTTAGTCATTCTCCACACAAAAGCGGTTCTGTGTCTGTTTTGTAGCATGGGGACCAAAACTGCACAGTATCCCACGTGAGGCACAACAAGGACCTAAGTGGTGGCATAGTGTCCTAGTCTTTGCCATTTCTAATACTGGTTTTGCTTTTCTTGACTGCTGCTAAATAGCAATAGCTTGTTCAGAGCACATTCTTCTGTGTATGCAGAGTAGGGATTGACTTTCCCTCCCCATGTTCATGACTTTCCCTTTTGTTGTACTCATGTTTGTGCATTAGCAAGGTTTAATGCATTGAGGGATTTTTCATTTTTTAGAAAAGTCCCACATATTCTCTGGTCATCATCAGGATGTTATTGATATACTTATCCAGTAGTACATTTTTCAACGTCCTGCATGAAGAGTTTGCTTTGGGATATTCAAATTATCAAAGTGGCAATTATTTTTGCAAATGCAGCTATTTTTGACTGATGCTTTCTGAGCATCTTGCAAAGATTTTTCAGAGTTGATGACATTGGCCTGCTGAAAAATCAAGTCTCTTGAAGATACAAATTAGCTATTGAAAATTATTTAGGCTTTTATATCCTAATTTGGAATATATATCTGTTTATAAAGACAATGTATGATAATGGAAATAAAAGAACTAAACTGAAGTTTTCATAAGGGGCAACAGGCCAGGCCTTTAAAGTATTTAGATAATAAACTGCTTTTGCAGATAGTGGGAGTTGGCCACCTCAATTCTTTTTAAAATCTGATCCTGAAACCATTTTTCAGGCTGTTAAGGTGAAGGATGGTCTTGAAATATGATATAAACTCCAAAGTCACTAAGGGCAGCATTTTCTGAAGGACTTGTTTTTTCTATAAAGGTATAAAAGCTATTTGAATACTTTTTGGTGACCTACACTCCAAACAAAACACTAAAATATTTAGATCAATTCATTGTAGCATTAAATATTTGAAAATAAATATCTGAATGACATTTCACTGATTTCTTAACTAACAAAAGTTATATCATTTCCCAAGAGACTATTTAAAAAGAAATAGAGCAGCTGGTGAGGCTCTGAGGCTCTGACGTTGGGCTTCAGGGAACAGTGGCTTCTGTTGGAAAATAAGAAAATTCATGGCAAAGTCTGTGGGGTTTTTCTTTTAAGGTAAACCCAATGTTTTAGTATTTCATTAGCCACTGATACACTGGCAGAAAAATAAAATGTCTAGCCTCTTTGAACAAGCAAAAGCATCACATTTTTTATATATAAGTCTGTAAGGAGAGTATGCGGGCATGTGAAGGCAGACTTGATTGCACAGATCAATAAAAGGCATCTGTCCTCTGACTGCTGAATTAGTTCACAGGGCTGTTGTTACTGCCTGGTCAACCATAATGGAAAATAAAAAAAAAAACCAAACCAGCAATCTGGAACAGATGCAGAGAAAAACTGCTTAGACGCTATGGGAATGAGTATTTTATCTTGCAAAGGAAACAAAAAGAATGTAACTTCTTTAGTCTGCCAGATTGGAAAAGGGATCCCTGTAAAATTCGTACAGTGAGGGAGAAGACTGCCCAGGCATTTTGCATTTCACCTGCACTAGCAGAAGCTGAAGAATGAATACCAAGGTAGAAACTTAACAACAGGGGAAGGAATATCCAAGCTAAAGGTGAAAGTCATATGATGGGAAGAAGAGAACTTATATCAAGCAATATTTTTATTTATCTTAGTTCTGTATCTTGTGCTTATATAATGCAAACAAGTGGCCGTCCTGTAAATATCCTGTGTAGAGAGAATTCAAACAAGCACCAGTCTGCTTTCCATAGCTGGTATGCCTGATAAAAGTTGACCTGTACTTCTTGGGAAGCAATGCACTTGTCTGAATAATAGACAGTACATTTCCTTGGCACAAAGTAAGTGCTTGCAATGGGTGAGTTAACATGAGCGACAGCGTTCTGTTTATAATAGCTCAACATGAGGGAATTTATCTTATTCTCTTCAAGAAATTTTGCTGAAAGATAATATTCAACCAAACAACTTCAACCACAAGCTCTGGTAAAAGCATTTCTTAGTTTAGGAGTTTGGTTTTGTAACCTGGACAAAATAAGGGGATTTAAAAATTATTGTATCTTCTTGAATCTTATCTTAAATCTCATGCATAGCATTCTAAGGATATTTTTCAAAGTATATCTAAAAATACAATCTTTCAAACTGTTTATTTGAAGTATTTTAAATAATTTATCTCGTGTAATACTATGGTTTCACATGCCATAGCTTAGCAATCAGAAGCATATTCTCCATGCTAAACCTGAAAATAGAAATACAGACTCATGTAATTTTTGCTTTAGATCAAGCCTTAATATTGTAATTTTGAGCCGTAATGTTTAAAAAACAGGTTGTGTTTTTTGATCTGCTGAATGTCTTTTACTGTGGTCTTTAAGAAAGTAGGTGGCAAAGATGAGTATTCCCAGCAGCAAACAGTATGACAGAATAGTACATAACATAATGATGTTGAAAAGTAAGCAATATTAATCTTCAAACTGTCTTGTGTCTGCTACAGACATCACATGGCTGTGTGGGGATTTATCTTCCAGAAGAGATTCTTCTGGGGTTACTTATGAAGTTTTCCTTGTTTTTTATAGGGGTTTGGTTTTGTTACCATTGGCTTAAGTGCTTCATGATCTAAGATGACCTGAGTCCTCCCCAAACTTGTGTATGCATACTCTAAACAAGTAGTCCCCTTTTACAGCCTTATTTATCTGGGAATATTATACAAGTCTGATGTAAACAAGGAGCTTGGGCGTGCACAGGAAGTCCTTATTAAAGAAAAACTGGTTCAAAGTATGAAGCCTAGTAATAAAAGAGAAACTTAGCAGGACCTTCATAAAAAATAGAGAAATTGTGTCCCAGCATTTCCTTTCCAAACTTTCTGTTGCTCTCTTCTATCAGATGTATGTTTGCCCCACTGTGATGTACAGAATTTACTCTTTTTAGAAACGTCTAGTTCTGCTTCTAATATTGGATCTCACGTGATCATTGTCCATCTCTTGGATTCTCTTTTTCATTTCAGTGGCAGAAATCTGTCAGCTGAGCCCTTCAGATTCCCTTAACTGATTGAAAGTCGTCTCTTGAAAGATGCTAGAAAATCAGCATTGGTTTCTCTCTGCCTCCTGATGTCTTGTTTCTAGTCTGATTATAGAGTTACTTTCTGGTAGTCTTTTGGTAAACAGTATTAACTGATAAAGTTAATAAAAAACTCCTAGATTTGATGTCTTAAATTCCTATGTTGTTTATGAAAGCTGATATGCAAGATGGTATGGATGCTCCTGGAGTGTCTGTCTGATTCCCTCCTGGTTTCAGTAAAGAACTAGTATCCTGATCATCTCTGGCGTATGCATGTTAATTTTTTTCGGAGCTCCCTCCTATAAGAAGCTTCAGGTTTCCTTCTGAGAGAGAATTTGCACAGTTGACACTTTAGAGTTTTCTGCAGTATCTGGATGTGAGGCCACATCATATGTGACTCTACCAAAGACAGCATGAAGACATGTTCCATGCTGTGTCATGACATAGAGGCACCTTGCTGGCCACCTGTGGATTTGTGTAAATGTAGCCAACTCGGTCCAGAGAGACAGCTCTCTCCATGTGGATACAAGTCAGGACCTGGGACATGGTCCCTGGAGTGATCTAAGAGAATCAACAGTAGTAGCATTGATTCGGGAGATCTTTCAATCCTATATTCCTAATTGGCAAGAGATACAGGCACTTGTATGAGAAAATTTAGCAATTCCAGTTATGAGCACTCTTAATATAGGTATATATGAGATATAAATATAATACCTGTGTACAAAATTAGCCCAGTTATCCGGACTCAGGTGTGACATTTTCCAGTGGTAACTTTTTGGGGTGCAGTTCAAGTTCTGAGTTAAATACATCCAGTGAATCATAGCACGAATCTTTGCACAAATATATAACAAATTCTTTATCTAATACATAAAGATAAATGGATGATAGTGCTTTGTTTTCCAGCAGAATTCTAAAAATTACTTCATGGATATACAACGTACCTAACTTAGTTTACTGTTTCACTAAGGTCTTGGCATTGACAACAGGACATCTTTACCAAAGAGCAATTCTTCTCCATGGGATGATACACTTTTCAATATATCCATGCACGCAGCAATCCGACGTGGAAAATGGAAGTTACTAACTGGATATCCAGGTAATGAAGTAACTCCTTTTTGTACAGTGTGTCATGTCTCTCACCTGTCCCAAACACAGTTTAGTTCTGTTTAATGTATTTTCATTTCTTTTAGTTATTCTGCTAACTTTTCAGGGTTTTAATCACAAGCAAAAATCAACATGGGGCACTTCTAAAATCCAAACAACATATTTGTTCATTTTGCAAATATTTTGTATGCAAATGACTTTCACAGTAGTGGAAAAACTGTCATAGAATATCTCAAGTTGGAAGGGACCCATAAGGATCATTGTATCCAAGAAGAAAGTCCATGAAATTCGTTGATATGAAAGTAAGTGAAATGGAAGTTTGAATCACAATGGTGCAACTTTTTTGTATAAATAGGACTCCTATATAGGTAGCCCTGGACTAGAGAGTCTGTGGTGTTGGGCTAGAGTTAAGAAATGCAGCAACCATCACTATACAGTGGCTTGTCAAGGGACCTGTTGATTACTCTACGTCTTCACACTGCTGCTCCATATCTGAGAATTAACCCTTGGTCTGTTCCTGTTTCTGCAGGCTGTGGTCATTGGTTCCCTCCACCATCTTTGTTCAATGAGTCAAAGATTCAATCACCTGATCCACCAACAAAGAGACTTTGGCTATTTGATATTGTTCATGATCCTGAGGAGAAAAATGATTTGTCTGAAAAATATCCTCATGTGGTGGAAAAACTGCTCTCACGGCTTCAGTATTATTATAAACGTTCAGTGCCTGTGTTCTACCCTGATGAGGATCCCCACTGCGATCCAGCAGCAACTGGGGCTTGGGGCCCTTGGGCATAGTGCACAGCACTGCGATTTGCAAAACAACCCTGTAACAGAGTCTGGGTTATGGACTCAGGGTCCTAGTCACATATTTCTTACCTTGTTTATTAAACTGTTGCCAATTATGAGTTCATTCCTTGAGTAATTCAGTATTTCTTACTCTTAAAATATGCTCAGAGTCTTATTTCAGTCTTCTCCCACTCTCTCCTTCCCAAGAATTTTATGTGAAATGTTCGTAAAATTATAAATCCTGTTGTTCAAATATTCTTTGTTCAGGATATGCTTTTAATGCAGAAGGTAAAACATTGCCCCCTCCTTGAAAGAGATTACCCTTCTTAAAAAGCTGCAGTGAATCATGGCAGCAGGGACATCAAGAAGCATCCATCTTGTGGAATAAGCTGACGTTGGTTTCTTGTTTGTCCAGAAGACAAATTCTACTGGAAGCTGTTACATATCTGTAAAGAACAGAAAAAAATACAACAGTTGGCATAATGATTTTTGCCTTTAACATGCACCTCCATCCAGAAAAAGAAACAGATGGAAATCTCCCACGGTAAAAAACCCCAAAACCTCTCAGAATACACCAAAATCCCTAATCCTTGTTTGCTGTTAATCTATCAAACTGGAGGAGAGAGTGGTGCTCAACTGAAGTGTAGGGCTGTCAGTCAGAGGGATCTTGACAGGCTGAAGAAATGGGTGAACAAATACTTAATGAAGTTCAACAAAGGCAAGCCTTGCACTTGGGGTGGAAGAGCCTTGTGCAGGAGTACACACTGGGCTATGACCAGTGAAAGCATTGAAAGCATTTTTGTGGGGAAAAAAAAATCTAGGTGTTCTGCCAGATAATAAATAGAACAAGAGTTGCCATGTGCTGTCTTGGTGAAGACCAACCACATGTTGGTCCATATAAGTGAGAATATAGCCAGCACATTAGGGGAAGTGTTTATTCTCCTAGCATAGCATCACATTTTGGGCTTCCCTGTACAAGTATTGACAAATTGGAGTGAGTCCAGTGGAGCATCGTGAAGATGATCACCGGGAGGAGAGCAAATGAGGCGACGCTAAAGAAATGGTTTAGTTTATGCTGGAGAAGTAAGAGAAAGGGGAAATTGCTATCTTCATCTACCTAATATAAGGGCATAGAGAAGATGAAGCCAGACTCTTCTCAGAGGTGCACAATGGTGAGAAGCACACAGGGAACACATGGCATTCCAGTTCAATATAAGAAAAAAATCACACCATGAGGTCAGTCAAATATGGGAACTGTGAGCATATGGCATTCCTATGCTTGGAGATGTTCAGTCCTTGGTCAGAGAAGACCCTGAAGTTGGATCGAATTTGAAGTTGGCCCTGCTTTGATGGTAGCGGTGAGGAGCAGCCACATGACCTCCAAAGAGCCCTTTCTGCATGAATTTCAGTGATTCTGTGATGAACAAAACCTTACTTTTATTGACTGCCTAGTGAGTGCCCTTTCTTCTCAGATTTTGTAGTATCTTTAATACCATAGTAGAGACTGTTTTCATCCTGAAGTGGGCTCTGAGCCATGAAGAAACCAGGCCAAGCAACATTTCCCGATTACTCATCAAATTGATGCAAGATCAACCCACCAGCTTTCTTAGTGTCTTAAAACTCTGGAGTCTGGCCAGAGTTCTGGTACTGCTTCTCAGTGTCCTTAGCCAAATTCTCAGGCTTCAGAGCTCTAGCTGTCATCCTCTCCAGAAAGCAGGGATCTAACTGCCTATTTTCTGGCTCCAAGAACAATTTCTGTAATTTGCACACCTTTTCCCAGGTTTCCCTTGGGCGACTTGTGCTAATTGTTAGCAAGTGGATTCATGAAGAGACAGACTTGACAGAATTTTTGCATTTTTATAGATAGAAAGATAAAGCATGGAAAAGATGAAACTTCATAAAACTGAAAATGAACAGCAATGCCTGCTTTCTGATACAGCTGATTCTCTGTTGCACTGTCTTAAGTCTAGCTTGCCTTTTCCACCTTTGACGTTTTCCTACAAGTAGAAGTGAAGCCAAAGCTCTCCAGAAGCCTGTTCAGCTGCCTTTTACTCTGTTTCTCTCTCTCCTTTGTCACTTCTGCTCCTTTATTTCAGTAGTTTTTCTATTTTATTTCATTCACTCTTTTCAGCCTTGAAGATGGGGAAAGAAGAAAATTACTTTGGGAGGAAATAATTCTCTTCATTGGGCAAACACATACGCTCTGGAAGATTGGTTGGATATTTTTTGGAACCCTGTTTCAGACCAAGGTTCAATACCCTTCTCCATTCACTGATCAGTGGCTGCAAGCAGATGGTTGCAGCAGGATATGACATGGGCAAGCATATGTGATAAGCTCTTCAGATTGTCCCTCACCTTCTAAATGATTGCTCAGAGCTTCAGAGATTTAACTTCTATGTATTTAGTTGCCTTTAGAGTTTTTTTTCTCTTCTGTGAGGTTGCACAACCCTTCAATTGGGGTCCTTGGACATAGTGCACAGCCTTACAATACCTTGGTTGGTATTCACACAATTGCATGTTTCCACAGCTTAACTAGACACTGTGTGAAGAATCTTCTGTTTGTTTGTGACCTGCTTCCAGGTAATCTGAATTTTCACTGGCAAAAGACATATGCTGTGACAGAAGCTCTTACTATATTTAGCAACTTTCATATTAATCAATGTCTTTAAAATATCAAAAAGAATTAATTTGTGTGTTCTGCAAAGGTAGTCTCCAGACTGATACCTGATGACCTCTCCTTCCATTTCATGAAACACATTTAAGCTTCTCTTTCTATCATTTGTGACTGTTCACTCAACTCCTGCCCAGATTTTTGGCTAACAAACAGCTCATGCAAAGGCATGATGTGTGTAGGGAGCAGCCCCATTAAGGCAAAGCGAGACCAACAGGAAGGGCTACAGGTCATTATACAGCCGTTATCACCTGCAGTTTAGAGTCTCCAGCAGCCATAATCCTTGCTATGGATTGTCTGGCAGTTCCTTCAGAATCCACTAATTTACAGAAAGGGTATAAATCAACTTCCAAGATAGGAGGTATAAATACGTCAGCTTAGCCAAAAGGCTTTTGAAGCATATCCAACAGCAGCCAGACCTCTGAGGCTTTCGTGCTTCCCACTGTGGTACAGGGGAGGCCTGCACCATGACAGAGGAGGAAGGATGAGCACTCTCATCATCAATACTTACATAGGTAAGTATTTTTCTTATAGGTGCATGAGTTGTGAGTTACGAATTAGATGACTTGTGAGTTAAAAACCTCATGAATTAAGGGATGAGCTAGTGAATTCACATGTTAGACTAGTCTGTACGAAGGGGATTGAGACCTTGTTTGATGTGTGTCTTTGTTTTCTTTCCTAATGAGCTCATAAAATAATTTACAGTATATGTTGTCCTGTAAATTTGAGAGATCCAAACAGACTGTGACCATCTTGGCTTCGGAGCACAGCAGCATTTCACTTCTGAGCTTGTGAAGTTTCTTTATGATAACTGAGGCTCAGGCTCTGTTATTTGCTGACCACAGCAAGGGATGGAAAATGTAGCCAAAAAAGCCTTTTTATACTGCATCACCTTGACAAAGCTCACACTTTCCTTCAGTAGCTCTAGAAAAACCTTTACCACAGTTCCCTTTCCTAACTATTGCAGTTTATTTTATACCAATACAATGATTTATGCCTGTTTATAACTTACCTGTTTAATACTGCATCTTTATGTTTCACATCATAATTTTCTGCAGGATATAGTTAGTAACATGGTTTGGTATATGGGATTCTGAAAGAATAAGGTGTCAAATCACCTTGTGCATAGTAACCTTGTAGGGTTACTATTTCTGTATGTTATGCATTAATGATACAGGTAGGCCTTCAAATGCCTTTTTGAAATACATCATCCACATATCAGAGGTTCCATCTGTTTAGTACTCCATTCCTCATCTGTTCAGAATGTGTTGGTTAATTTATTCTTGCAATCACAATGCAGATGGAGAAGTTGACAGCCATTCCCCAGTATATAAGGCAAGTAAATCCAATGAATTTACATTATTCTCACTCTTGAAAGAGTTGGCTGGTTTTTATATAGTGCATATTTATTTAGGGCTCTGTGTACACGAGCAGACATGTAAGACTAGAAAGCTAACTGTTCTCAGTCAATACCCACATATAACATTTTAGTTTATAGTAGCAATTACAGGATGTGGTTGCCACAATAACAAGGGACTGGACTCAGGGGCAGGGGGATTTTCTACCCTACATTCCTGTGTGTCATTCAGCATTTGGGACTCATATTACATGAGGAAAGATGTTGGCTTACCCACAGAAGTGGGAACTTTTGTTACTGATATTTTTAATACAAGTACTGTTCTTTTTATGCTGATATCCAATTTCACGGAAAAGAAAGAAACATCAGCTAACTTGTAAAAGTTCAAGTAATTATTGTGTTTGAGTCTCCCATCAATGTCAGCTCTTTGGCTAAAGTTAGAAAAGATTAAAGAATGTCTAATTTTAATTTCACAGATAAGCAGAACTTTTATATGTTCTCTTTTCTCTGTGTCCTACAATCTGCATTTTAATATCCTGCCAATATTCCAGTTCAGGTAATTCATCTAGTAGGAAGAGACTGTGGCATGTCACTGTCTTCTGTAGGTATCAAATTCACCCTCTATTACCTCTTGTTATATTTTAAAATCCAAGGATTCATTATTTTCTCAGCTACAGCACACATAATTATTTATTTTATTTCCTAATTATTTTCCATGGGTGGTCCTTCATAAAATATTTTAATTGAACTGGGTTAGGGGGAAAAAAAAAACAACATCTGGCTGACACGTTTAGGTTGGCATCTGCAAAGAGTTGTATACTGTTCAGTTGTTTCAAATTGGGAAATAAAGAATTCTTTACATGTTTTGTGGTTACTTGAGTAACATTCAAAAATGCAAGCATTTTGAACTCTCTAAATAAAATTTCATTTCATCCCTTTCCAAGTTAAGATTCATTCTTAATGCAGCAAACATCTGAGCATTTTGAATTCAAAAGTCTTCATTTTTATATTGTAGAAGTGATTTAAGCTTCAGAAAAGTAACCCACTTTAGGAAGAACGCTCACGCTGGCTACTCATTTTGCATTGCTTCTTTACAAAAAGATGCACACAAACAAGGAAGGGATTATTTTAGAAGCAAAACAGAAGATCTGGACCTGTTCTTGAGTCAAAGGCCCTATATTCAGCCTGAAAATAATTGGTCCAACTTTCCTAAACTTGATAAATGGGTCTTGGATGAAACTCTGAGTTTAATCCTCCTCAGAATCTCTGTGAACAGAAGAATCCAGAGTTTAAATCCTTGTGGTCTGTGTGGATTTGAAGCTCTACTAGCAGTCCCTGTTGGCCTCTGTGAATTTGCCTCTCATCTTACTTTCTGACAAAGTGGTTTAATGGTAGTAAGGCTACTAGGGATATTCCCAAAGCTCTTCCATGTTTTCTTTAAGAAGCAGTAAATGAGCTTGAGGTTACAAACAGAATCCTATTAGACCTGTGCCACCTTCTTGCAGACTTACCAAAATTCCTGATGGAAGGGGTGATAGTGACAGAGCCACTATATGGCATGTGTGATGGGGTCTGGCACACGAGGACATGAGGTCTGTATGTGTAGCCATGTTGGTAATCCTAGGGTCAGCGAAACCCAAATGAGAAATAGGCAAGTGAATCACAAAACACAGAGGTCAAACAGTCTAAATGAAAGAAAACTTGACACAGAAAAAATACATAATGTCAAGCAATACATGGTGATCCAGAATCTAACCATAAGTGTGGGTTGTGCCTAGCCTAGGAACACCAAGCCATTTCCTAGATGTAGCAGTTGTCAGGGGAGAATTCATTTTCCTGCCTACCTGCTCTTTTGGCAGCCCACCGCAGCCCCCCCTCCAGCTGGACCCCAAGGCTGTGGCTCTCCCATAACATCACCTGAGCGCTGACATGACAGAGGGGTCAGAGGAGCCTTCCTACAGGCCAGCCCTTCCCTTGGCAGCCCCTTTGCAGCCCCACCCTAAGTGGACCCATAGGTTTTGTGTCTCTAGCTATAAATAAGCTGAGGTTTGTAATGGGAAAGTAGTGCTTTTGCTAAGAGAAGGGAAAAAAACCTTACCAATTCTAATTTTGAGGAGGTTTTTACGCAATTTTTTTGCCAGCAGTTTCCAGCTGAGTATTTTAACTCTCTCAGCTTACTGTCTCTGTCAGCCGCAGGCAGTGGACTTGATTTGGTTTCAAGTTGGATTGTTACATGGTAAGATTCTGGTTAAATAGATGGTGTAGAGAGTTCCCTGGGGTCCCAAGCTGCTTTTTCTGATTCCAGTGCTCTCACATTTCTTCCAGTGCCGTAAAATGCATGTATGAGCTCATCTACACCGAGCAGAACTGCTGCAAGGAACAGTAAAAATATTTTGGCACAGAGCAGGCAGAGTGAGTCAGTCATCCAACCACGGATGAATTCAGTGACGGCCCTTGTGATAATTGCATACCGTGGTTAGCAGAGGCAAAGAGGATGATGCATTAAGTTCTTGCTGCATTAGTGTTCCCTCCTGGGAGTGTTATTTTTGCAGGGTGGAGTGGAGAGATATTGGAAGGGTTGGTGATATATCTGCTGCCAAGTTTCAAAAAAGTGACTACCGGCTGCCATCATCAAAGCAGCTACCGGATGTTGATCCCCTAATTCTGGCTAAACTCAGTAGCAACAAAGGCAGCTATATTTTGTCTGTGGGACTATAGTTAGAAAAAAGTACATGCAGAATCGCTAGATTTGGATCTAAGGAATGCAGTGCTTATTTGAACGAGTCTTCAAAAGCCACAACAAGGTACTACACCAAACCCACAGTTCTGGGCTGCCAGATTCTGGCATTCAGGACAGTGATAAAAATAAAAGAGCTCTGTCTTGTATTGTGCCATGCATTATTGTGATTTCTTCAAGCAATCAAGGAGTTAGAACGCAGTGAATACACGTACAAACAAAGTAAGCTGTGTTCAGTATTCAGCAATGCTTGTTGAGTAGTTTTGGGCATGGAGCCCACAGTAATGAATGGAAAACTTTGATCAGGACATCTGTGGCCTGCCCAAATCATTTCATGGGATCCACAATTCTGCCGGGAACATCACTCGATGACCCTATTGACCAGGGACGTTGGAGCCTTTCTTCATTGTGTACTTTCTCCCAGCACACTCGTGAAGTAGGAGTCATCAATTTTTATTGGATAGAAAGCTCTGAAATGGCTTATTCAAGGTCATCTGAGCCTTAAGTTACCCTTACATTTATCCTGCCTCACTGGGAAAAAAGGTTTAATGGGTCTCTGGACAATGAGAAGATGAATGGCAAGAGCATTAGGTCAGAGGCGTGATTTCACTTATAGCAGATGTACTCTCAGTTGCAGCTTGACTCTACTTAACTCACTGTAACAAATACTTTCTTTTTCTATATAGATTACAGTCATGGAAGTTCTGTAACTCCAAACTGTTTTCTCAATGTTGCTCACCAGTGAAGGTTTATCCATGAAGACAGTCGATTTCTGGAGGATCATCATTTTTTCCCTTCTGCCCTGTGTATTAGTGGTAAGAGGAACCTTTTTAAAAGGCTGTGAAAATCGTAGTTGCCATCCCAAGAACCATGGAAACACTTCTGCCCTGGAGGTGGCCCTTGTAGATGAACTGAATTTCTACTTTCATTCTTGTCCCTTTTGCTTTGTTTTAAAATATTCTGTTTTACAAGTCATACTTGATTGATAAAGTGCTGTCTGAAATAATCCCAAGGTGGCTGTTAGTCTGGTCTGGTCACACACCCCCCACCTCCGCAGTGACGTGTTGTAGAAACAAAGTCATTCTCCTGCCTTTTCAGTTCTGTTTTAGCTTTACTGTGTAATGAAGAGAGCATGGTCACGGTGTATTAAACTACTGGATAAGAGCAACATATACTTTGCCATTATTTTGCTTCTAGCTAAAGCTCTGAGACTAATATAGTGGAGAAACCTGGCTAAGAATTTACTGACAGTTTTCTTTGCCATAAATTCAGCCTAAAAAAACCCCAGAACAGTTCAAATGGCACAGCCTTTGGCTGAGTAAAAAATAGGCACATTTATAATATCAAAGAAGACTTATGAAAATATCACAGCTGGATTTTGAAAAATGTAGGAGGGAATGGAGTAGAACAATTGCATTTCTGTTTATATTTGACCTAGAAAGTAGCCCACTCTGAAGAAACATTTACAGAACTGAATGGTTGAGAGATTGTCTCTTAGAGGCAGCAGGTACAGGTGTCTGAAATTCCTGTGAGTTATAATTGCTTGTTAACAACGGGATTTTTTGGTAATTATTTCTGCCCACAATACTCAGGGATTTACTATATATTGTTTTATGTGGAGAAGTTTTTAGAATTCACCCTTTTTCTGTATTTACTTTATAATAAAGAAAGGCCATGGTATAGTAAAAAAAAAAGGCTTAAAGCAAAGTTTTCTTTAATTATTACTCTGC